AGGAGAAGGGCACCCAAGGAGGGTGTCCTTACAACAGTCGAAACCGATGAACGAATTGTCGGATGCATTCAAATAAATAATTGCATTTGACGTTGGTTGGGTGCATTGTTCATTGTAAACATGCTTACGTCTAATAAATGTATTTTTACCCTTTTTTTTACCCTTTTTTTATTACTCCCACATCATCCCCTGCGAACCTGCTTGTACTCTACATTCCCTGGACCTCGATCTCTTGGATTTCTTCTTCTGGGACCACCTAAAACCGCTCTTGTATGAGATTCCGGATGATAAAGTATAGGATCTCACGGCACAGATCTTTGTTGCTTCAGATGACATCGCCACCACACAGAAATTGTTTGAAAGCGTCCGACAATACTCCATCCGTAGGTGTCGACTGTATTATAACCGTGCAGACAAAGTATCGCACGGGCCTTACAGAAGTAAGCATGAAGCACACATTACAATGGAAGGAAGGAATTTAAAACATGAAGAATTACAATACAAACACCCACGCCTCCGGGACTCGAACCCAGGCCCTACTACACAGCAGTCAGCGTCACTTATCACTATACCGGATGGGTGGCAAGTAATAAGTAATAATATGTGTTTAAAGTCAACAAAAATCACAATATATGCATCATAGGTTACTTTTAATATAATTTAATGCATGAAAAAACATTAAATTACACTAATGGACAAAAAAATAAGCTCACCAAAAATTAATTGTGGGGTCGTAATTAAACTTGGCATGAAGGTACATGTCGGGGAGATATGAAATGTTTAAATGCAGGGATGTTTTACTTATACCAAAAGGGGGCGTTTAAATCGTTCTCCGTGGGTATATAACAGGTAACGAAAGCTTTTGGGGGCGGGAATCTTTTACAAACAAAAATTGAGGTAGATATGCCTTTAAGCCTTTTCCCAAGAAATAGAGGAGCTGTCGAAGTTTGAGGGGGGAGAATCATCGGCATGGGAAGCTGGTAGTCAGCTAGGGGAAACCGTCAATTGGCCCCCTCTGATTGTTTTGTGGGAGGTTTTGGGGACCAGGGGATCCGAGAATATCATTTACACGAAGACAAGGTCGGGACCCCCTCGACAGACCAGTCTTCGAGAAGACCCCCACATCGAAAAAATGCAGGCGTACTCCCCCGCTTATCGGTCACCATCAGGCACAGGTAACCTTCAAAGAGCCCCCCGTCTTCTCGAACCTTTCGAAGGCCCCTGGCGAAGGACTTTTGGGGAATCGTGGTGCCCATTGCGTTTTTTGCTTTTGACGCCCACCCATCGCCCCTCCTTTTGGGGAGTGGTTCCGAAAAGGGGGAAACGGGACTCAGCGGAAGGAACCAAGCCCTTTTTAACGACGAATAGATTCAATCTCGAAGGATGACAATCGTGTTCGGTGGGGAAACCCCCGGGTGAACGTCTCAATCCTGTCTTTTTTTACAGCGGCACACGCTCCCCAGTGGTGTGATGGTATGGGGTCCCTTTTCCTACAATACAGGGTCCCCTAGATTGATTAGTGGCACCATGACATCTCGCAGTATGTTTGACATCCTGCAACACATTGTTGCCCTCATGCAACGACCCTCGGGAGCCTTTTTTTCAACAAGACAAGCTAGGCCCACACGGAAAGGGGTGTCACAAGACGGTTCCCACGGTTATTACCCTTCTTTTTGGCCTCCCGATCCCCGATTTTCTTTCAGATTTTGGGGAAATTTGGGACGGTGATTTGGGGCATCCTACGAATTTGAACGAACTAAGGCTAATTACAGCAAAAGGAACGAAATGTCTCAAGACATCATACAGAACTTGTATGCCTCAATGCCCGATCGTATCCCATCGTACATTCGCTCCAGAGGGGGTTCAATAGGGCATTAAATCCACCGTTATTTTCCCTTTTTCTCTGAATGATTCTTCTTTTTCTTTGATTTTCTAATCATTTACTTATATCAAAGTAGTCATTACGTATGTAAAAGTTCGTTTCATTTTGACGACTTGGTTGGTGCTCTAACTTTTTCCATGATTGTTATATCATCACAAACATTCTTTTAAATAGTTTTCAACAAAACAAAATATTTTATAGAATTTTTTTGCTTGACTTTTTTTTTTAAATTTAGACTTGTCATTTGAAATAATTGGTAACATTCTTGGTTAAATTTTTATGTGACGATTAAATAAAAACAAACTAAACACAATCATTTAAAAAGTTGCCAACATTTGTCTCGAAATTCTTAGATGTTTAGTTAAGCGCATTATATATATATAAGACCTATATTCTACAAAGTAGGAATTTAAGAGTTTTAAAAAAATTTTAAGAGTTTCATTCAAATTTTGGTTTTTAGAAGGGGAAGAACAAATTGAATTTTCACATTTCCAGTCGTTCCAGACAGGTTTAAGTAGTAGTTGGCGTGATTCATGAGTAATCCAGGGAATTCAGTTTCTATATGAACCGAATAGAACAGAAATTGAAAAGAATAGAAAAGTTATTTTTTTATTTAAAGTTTAAATGGAATTCTTGAGAATGATCCATTTTTTTTCAGAAAACAAAGACAAAAAAAATTTTAAAACGTTTCTTCGAATGGAAATCTTTCTTATTTTTTAGTTTTTCAAATAAAAAAAGTAGTTAAATAATCTAATGATAGAAAAAAATAAATTAACTCATTTTATTGTAAAATTCATCTGAATAAAATTTATTTTTCATAATAATTTCTTCTTATGAACATAATAGTGCAAAATGCATTTATTGATGACCTGTTTTATTTTGGTTTCAGGAAACCATATACTGAAATACCCCACGGCGGCTATGATTAAAATCAAGTTCCTTCATGTGAGAAAGGCTAAAATATCATGCAAATTTATGAGGAGAAATGATAGGAAATATTCATGGAAATGATAGTTCTCCATATAGGGCTGTTGTCAGGTCAAAAACTATTTTTTCTCACTGTCCCTCACATTAGGTCCACGAAGAGGATGACCATTAATCTCGGACGATACTAACACATTGGAGAGTGGAGATATTTATCCTATTAGACCAAAAATCAACCGTACGATTTATCATGAAAAAGATTAACCATAGTACCAAAAGTGTATGAAAAACTTTTCACTAAGAGCTACAATCAAAGGTATCAGCGTTCTTGGTTTCGACATGCAGGTTTCCAGACAACTGACAGAAGAGCATAGGAAAATGCCCTTGACATCTCCATTCGATTTTCTTTAAGGTATCCGACTGCGTTTGGAACCGTGATTGTAAAAAAACGCATAAATGGATAATTGTCATGATATTTAGTGTCACTTAGATTAGAATACATGTATAAAATTGTTTTAAGGACATTTTGACAAAAAAAATATATCTAAAAAATATTTTGGGAAAAAATTAACTTTGAATAATTTTTTTTCCCAAAAGTTCCCTTTTGTGAAAAATACTTTATTTAAAAATATTTTGCCTGTATATAGCCTCGACCTCTTTTCAGAGGCTCAATTTAAATTTTTTAAAATTCCATTATTTTTGAGTTACCCCCCATTTTAAAAAATTATTGGGTTTTTTTTTTAAAAATTGCTCTCCCCCGTTTAAAATATGGATAAACCCATTCTTTAAATTTTATATATTTCAAAAAAATTTTAGTTGAGCCTCTGCAGAGGTCTGGTATAGACAGGCCCCAAAAATTATTATAATAAAACTTTTCCAAAAGGAGAAATTTGAAAAAAAATTTTTCTGTTAATTTTGTGCCGAAATATTGTATTTAAAAATTTTTTTTAAAAAAATTTTTTTTAAAAAAAATTTTATACATGTATTCAAATCAAAGACCCCAAATATCATGAAAATTATCCTTTTAAACCTTTTTAAAAAATCACATTTCCCAAACGTTTGGCCTTAACTGTTAAACATGGGTAGTTTTTTTGCACCAGAATCATCACTGGTGATCAAACATAGGCATTTATCACCTATAACGATTCTGGATATAAGAACTTGTTAATTCTCTAAGAGTAAAGGTAAATCTATAAAGCACCTTAGTTCTTTTGATGCCAAAAATTTCAAAATACTATACAATCGGAAAAGGGAGGCAACTGCAATCTATGACAGATATGGAATGTTTTGAGGATTATATTCCTTAAGACGTATCAATGCAGCTTCTTATCTTAAAAACGTATAAAGGCTATTTTCGCAGAAGATTTGACCTAATTACTGCTCCAAAGAATTCGGCTGTTGCGTGTTAATGCAAGGCCACATATGCTTCGAGACTTGCGAAACTCCTAATATTCTGAGAACTTGCGAATTCTACTACATCCTGAAATTCCTAAGGGTCCCTTATTTTATCTTTTTCCCTAAGCTTAAAAGACTCTTTCAAGGATAGCGATTTCTGTCGGATGATGATATTAAATAAGTCTTAGTTCACATATATTCAAAGTTAATGCTTCGAAGGGGGAATATTTATTGTTATGAAAAATCCCAAGCAAACGAGGCAATTATGTCCAAAAATAAGATGATTAATGACTTTCACATATTTTAGACTTTTAACATTCTATACAAAAAATTTTAAAAACCCCTTTTTAAAAATTTTTAAAATGGGGAAAACAATATTTCTGAGGCCTTTATACATAAATATATAGCTATCGGAAGGACAATTATAATATTATCTTGATACTTATAAGAAAATGTAATATTCTTCCGTAATTCCTCATTTAAAATCTAATATATTCTAATATTTGAATTATATATGACACCTAAACTCACATATCTGTAAAAATTGCACCAGCATGAAGGAATCTTCAAAAATTAATTACTTTTATTCCCAACATTACTGATAGGGGTAAATATAAGCAATCAAAATTACAAGACAAAAAAAAGAATCTCGGAAATCCGTACTTTATGTGTCCACGATGCTAAGCAACAGCCCCCTAAAATTTTCGTGATTGTTTAAAACAGATTCTGAATGTTGTGAAATGGTACCCCAAATGATTCGACTTGACGCCAAAAAACAGTCTTATTGTGTGTCCCACCAGCTTTACGTGGTCACCCCACCCAATATGGTGGTTATGACACTCGGCTTGTAATCGAGTGGGTTCGGGTTCGAATCCCGAGTAAGGCATGGATACATCTTCAAAAAAGGTTTCGGACTTTTTTCCCTTTTCAAGGGAAAAAGCAGTGTGCTTCTTCTGTTCTTTGCTGGGATCATCACTTATAATAAAATCGGCATTCTTCTGAGATTGTGTTATATGTGTTTTCTGTTCATCCATCTTATGTCTTTCTATGTATTCCAGTAATGCACTCATGGACAAAAAGAATTATCGCACCAAAGAATCGTCAAAATGAAACGAAATTTCACATACGTAATAACTACTTTGATTTAAGTAAATAATTAGAAAATCAAAGAAAAAGCATCATTTATTTCAGAGAAAAAAGCAAAAGAACGAAGGATTTAATACCCTGTTGAACCCATTCTATATATATATATAGCGTGAATGCACGATGAGATACGATCGGACATTGAGGCATACAAGTTCTGTATGATATCTTAAGACATTTCGTTCCATATTTGCTGCAACACTGCCTCTAGTTCGTTCAAACTCGTGGGATGCCCAACTCGCCGTCCCAAATCATCCAATATGCTCGATTGGAAGTAAATCTGGCCATCGGATAGGCAAAGGAAGGGTAGTAACAGTGCTGAGACAGTCTTGTGACAACCTTGCCGTGTGAGGCCGAGTATTGTTTTGTTGAAAAATGGCTACTGGGAGCCATTGCATGAGTAGCAACACATGTGTTTGCTGGATGTCAGGTCATACCACTGGGCTGTCATGGTGCCACGGATCAATACTAGTGGTGGCCGTGTATTGTAGGCAATGGCACCCCATACCATCACACCAGCTGTGGGAGCGATGTGTCGCTGTAAAGCAAAGACAGGATTGAGGCGTTCACCACGGGGTCTCCCCACACAAACACGATTGTCACCACTGCCGAGACTGAATCTGGATTCGTCGCTAAAGACGACCTGGTTTCAAGCCGCTGCAGTCCCGCTTCCTCTTGCATGACACCACTCCAAACGGAGGCGTAGATCGGTGGGCATCAAGGGCAGCACACGTAATGGGTGCAGCGATCCCAAATGTCCTTCAACCCGGTGCCTTGTATGGTTCGAGAAAACACAGGGGCCCCTATTGAATGTGCTACACGTGCCTGGATGGCGGCTGATGAAGCAGTTGGCTGTACGAGAGCATTTCTTACGATGTGGTGGTCTTCTCGATGATTGGTCTGTCTAGGGCGTCCTGAGCCAGGTCTTCGTGTAAATGACATCTCTCGGATCCACTGGTCCTAACACCTCCTCACAACACAATGAGAGTGGCCTAATTGACGAACTACTCACCTAGCTGACCACCCAGCTTCCATCATGTCGACGATTCTCTCCCTCCCAAACTGCAACAGCTGCTGACATTTTCTTCGAAAACGGCTTAATGGCATGTCTACCTCACTGCTTCCTTTATGAACGATACAGCACACTCAAACAAGCTTTAGGTACCTGTTTTATACTACACGGAGAGCGATGTTAAACGCCCTCTACCGGCTATACGTAACGCGCAATCCTGCTGCATTTTTTATCATTTTCATATCTCCCCGACATGTACCGTCATGCAATGTTTCGTTATGATCCCGCTATTATTTCTTGGTGAGCTAATATTTTTGTCCATGTGTGTATACACACGACAACGACAACCAGCTTTACGAGGGTATCACTTATTGATAAAATCCCAGGCATGTTCAATGGGTGATATATATGATAAATGAGTAGGTCATGGGAGGAGCTGAATCTGTTGAGCTCTGAAGAAAACTTGCACGGTTTGACAAACATGAGAGTGGGCATAACCATGCTGAAATACAGCACCTGGAATGCGACAAATAATAGGGAAGACTTCTGGCTCCCCAATTTTCCTTATGTAGAGAACACTGTTGAAGGTTCCCGAAATTTTCAATGGATAGTATCGACAGTTACACCTAATAGTTCTCAACACCATGATACCAGGCATTTGTGCAGTATGATACTGAATATTATACTAAGGGAGCAAACGTGCCACTCTGTAGCATCTGACGCTTTTCTTGCATCATTGTACACCAGATTGTAGCGAGATTCATTGGAGAAAACAACTTGTTGCCATTCATTCAACGTCATTCCACGTGTTGCTGAACCCACTGAAATTGGAGACATCTGTGATTTAGCGCTAGAGTAATCCTGCGTAGATGAACACTTGCACGTTGTTCTTTCTGCAACAGACGACAACGAACCCTGGTGCTAGACAACAAAACATTTGTAGTCGTACTCGTAGTCGTAGTGTGTAACGTTTTGCTAACACATGAAAAGACACTGTACGGTTCGTCACAGCCCTGCGAATGAGGTGTTTGTTGAGCTATTGCGTGTCCCACTGTCAGAGTTTTGCCTTGTCGAGTTCTCCTCTGTCTATTTCTTTCAAACACGCTTCACTGTTTTGGCACTGCACTGTGGGCTGGCTGCGATTTCTCGATACGAAAATTCAACCTCTTGCATACCGACGATGCGGCCTCGTACGATCTCCCTTAGTTGTTGGTATGGCTTCCACCGCTTTTGATGAGGCATATTGACCACTCATTAAACATTTGACGCAGACAGAGGATGATAAACATATTTCAACGTATCTTTATAGCCCTTTATATGCATGGAACAAGTGCATGATAAGGAGCCGGTTCTCATTCCACACATACGCAATCGCTTTGTAATTCTAATAGCACATGACCCCTTTTTCATTTTTTTCGGCTGGTTTAGCTAGGATAATTCCTTCATGGTGCTGCAATTTTCATAAAGATGTGTGCCTGTCTCTACAATGAGACGTACTATATAATGTGTTAAGGAAAAATAAGAGACAAAAAATAAGCGACACTATGCGAGCAGAATTTTATCTTTTATGAAACATAAATATACCATCTCGAAAAATTACAGTACAAACTTTTATATCCCTTAAAACGTATTGTTTGTAAGAAAAATGATGAAAATCGCTATTTTGTTCTTGAAATAGCGATTTATTGTTAAGCTTTAAATTCGTATAGGCTTTTAAGAGATTAATCATAATGTATAATCATTTCTCATTTCAGCAGAAAACTTGTGGGAATCAATGATTTTTTTAAAAAAGGAAAACTCTCTCCTCCATCCAACCGTATAAAATCAAACATAATTAACATCTTATAGATTTAATTCCCACGTCCTTTACACAAAAGAATTTTTCGACGGATATTTAAAACAGAAAAATTCCACTTTCTGCTCGAAAGTGGAAAACTACAATACTACCCCCCAAAAAATTTGG